AAAAAAAAAAAAAAAAAAAAAAAAAAAAAAAGCAGGGCGCAGTGGCTCATGCTTGTAATCCCAGCACTTTGGGAGGCGGAGGTGGGGAGATCGCCAGGTCAGGAGTTCGAGACCAGCCTGGCCAACATGGTAAAACCCCGTCTCTACTAAAAATACCAAAATTAGCTGGGTATGGTGGCGTGTGCCTGTCATCCCAGCTACTCGGGAGGCTGAGGCAGGAGAATCACTTGAACCCGGGAGGTGGAGGTTGCAGTGAGCCGAGGTTGCACCACTGCACTCTAGCCGAGGTGACAGAGCAAGACTCCGTCTCAAAAAATAATAATAAATAAAAATAAAACTCAATCAGTCTCCTTCACCAGGCAGTGCCCCAGCCCTGCTGCTGTGAGCACTCACAGCTGCCCCTTTCCCCTGGGAGTCGTCCTCTCTGCCTTCCAGAGCCGAGCTGCCCGGAACTGCAGCGGCTGACTCCCCGCCAGCCCTGAGAGCTGGGGTTACCTGCAGGATGTGCACGCCCTTCAGGGAGACCACGGCCAGCTCCTGCAGCCCGTCCCCGGTCAGGTCCACGTGAGCCATGGCCAGCAGTGGACTGGAGAAGCTCCGCTGCCACAGCAGGCGGAACCCACGCTGGGCCCCGGGGAGCCCCGACTCCGGCCCTTGGTACTTATAACACAGCAGTTCCTGCAGGGGTGAAGGGTCGGGGTCACACAGGTTGAAGGGGGGACAGTGGAGGGAGGCCCGTGGGTGGGGACTCCAACCGTCCCGTCCCACCTGTCCATAGGTGGCCACCAGGACTTCTGGCCGCCCATCCAAATCCACGTCGGTGACCAGGCCACAGAGGACGCTGTCAAATTGGTCACTGCCGGGCAGGAGCAGCTGGTCTTCCAGGCCGCGGTTCAGCAGGTCCCTGAGGGTTCCAAATGCAGCGGAGAGACTGGGGTCAGCCTGTGGTGCCTGCCACCCTTGGCGGATGCTGAGCTGGTACCGGTCCTGCTTCCCTTCCAGGTCTCAGGAGGCCAAGGCACCATCATCTCAGATTTGGACATGTTCACAGACCCAGCAAGGGCTCAACCTGTCACTCAAGCCGTTCGCCTCCAGCCCATCTCACTCCCAAATGGAAAGCCACAGTGTCCCACTGGGGACTCAGACGCATGCGCCCTCAATCTAGTCGCCCATGCTGCCTTCATGGAGCCCGAAGACGGCTTGGCCCTGGCTTGGACACCTTCCCCACCCCTACACGGGTGCCAGAGCTGGCCACAGTCGCTTCCAAGCGCTGACTGGGAAATGTCCCCATGTCATCAATTCATGGCTCACAACCCACCACGGTGGGAGTATTTACACTTTGGACACTCGGGTAAATGCTTCACACCTGGGCTTTCCCCGGGCAGAGCCAGTAATTAAACATTTGCCAGCACACCCACTATCTCCCCTCCAGCGGGCGAGGGCGTCTCTGCTCCCATCCTCCCGCCTCAACGTATTCCCAAGTCTATACCTCAATATTCACAGCCCCGCCCCTGGGTCACAAGTATCTTTCTTTCTTTCTTTCTTTTTTTTTAAAGATGGGGGTTTCACCATGTTGGTCAGGCTGGTCTTGAACTCCCGACCTCAGGTGATCTGCCCGCCTCAGCCTCCCAAAGTGCTGGGATTACAGGTGTGAGCCACTGCACCTGGCCCACAAGTGTCTTTACTTGTCCAGGTCTGACTAAACCACCCAATGGAACTTACTGTGGAGAATGACGAGGTTAGACCACAGTAGAAAGAAACAAGGTTAGACCACACCCATGGGTCTCAGGCCCCCTCACCGGTACACCACGGCTGGCTCCAACATGCTGGCCACGAGCACGCTGTACTCATCTTGTGGTGGCCTGTCCTTGGTCTCTGGAGAAGAAACATGAATGGTAATCCCAATACTTTGAGAGTCCGAGGTGGGTGGATCAGTTGAGGTAAGGAGTTCGAGACCAGCCTGGTCCACATGATGAAACCCCACCTCTACTAAAAATACAAAAATTAGCCCGGCGTGGTGGTGGGTGCCTGTAATGCCAGCTCCTCCGGAGGCTGATGCCAGGAGCATCACTTGAGTTGGGAGGCGGAGGAGGCAGTGAATTGAGACGGCACCACTGCACTCCAGCCTGCGCAACAAGAGCGAAACTCTTGTCTCAAAAAAAAAAAAAAAAAAAAAAAAAAAAAAGACACTTGCCGTGTATGTTTACAGCAGCCCAATTCACAACTGTGAAGGTGTGGAACTAAGCTGCGTGGCCATCGACGAATGAGTGGAGAAAGAAAATGTGGCACATATACCCCCGGAGTACTACTCAAGCCACAAAAAGGAATGCAGCATTGTCTTTTGCGGCGACTTAGATGGAGCTGGAGGCCATTATTCTAAGTGCAGTAACACAGGAGTGGAAAGCCAAAAAAAGTATGTTCTCACAGAAGAAGGAGCTAAGCTCTGAGTATACAAAGGCATACAAAGTGTATAATGGGCTTTGGAGGCTCAGAAGGGGGAAGGAGGGAGGGGGTGTGGGTTAAAAAGTACACATTAGGTACAACGAACACTACTCAGGTGATGGGTGCATGGAAATCTCAGAATCCACCATTGTATAATCCATCCATGCAACCAAAACCACTTGTGCCCCCAAAGTGATTGAAATTTTTAAAAATCTTTTTTTTTTCTCTTAAATATGGAGTCTGAGCTCTGTCACCCAGGCTGGAGTGCAGTGGTGCGATCTTGGCTCACAGCAACCTCTGCGTCCTGGGTTCAGGTTATTCTCCTGCCTCAGCCTCCTGAGTAGCTGAGACTACAGGTGCCCATCACCATGCTTAATTTATTTTTATTTTTATTTTTTTAGTAGAGACAGGGTTTCACCATGTTGGCCTGGCTGGTCTCAAACTCCTGACCTCAGGTGATCCGCCCCCCTTGGCCTCCCAAAGTGTTGGGATTACAGGTGCCTGCCACCATACCCAGTGACTTTTTGTATTTTTAGTAGAGACAGGGTTTCACCATCTTGGCCAGGCTGGTCTTGAACTCCTGACCTCGTGATTCATGTGCCTTGGCTTCCCAAAGTGCTAGGATTACAGGCATGAGCCACCGTACTCAGCCTAATTTTTGTATTTTTAGTAGAGATGGGGCTTCGCCATGTTGGCTAGGTTGCTCTCGAACTCCTGACCTCAGGTGATCCACCCTCCTCAGCCTCCCAAAGTACTGGGATTACAGGTGTGAGCCACGGTGCTCGGCCAAACATTTTTTTTAAAAAGCAAAATACCAGTCAGGGACAGACTCCAATAAAGGAGCAGAAACGATCCACATGTTGGGGAAAAGGCTAGACCCTGGGTGGTCGGGCATCGGTGAGGCCAAGAGCATAGCCCAGGACTAGACTGCAGCAAGAGACATGGTGAAGCGGCCACAGAGCCGGCGAGTAAGTCCCGAGGTGAGACGTGCAGATCAGGGCACGGAAGGAGAGGTGGACGCCCAGCCCTAGGTTACGGGGCTAAGGTTACGCCAAAATGAGAACCACTGTGAACCCTACCAGAAAAAACAGGGCTTAGTCTCATGTTTTAGTTCTGCAAGTGAAATTCACAGAGAGGGGAGGGGAGGGAAGAGGCGCTCTGTAGCTCAAGGTCTGGAGTCGGGGAGGCACGAAGGAGGGACTGGGGCCTGGACACTTTGAGAGAGAGTGCAAATTTGGGGGGGAAGAGCCAAGCAGGCAGCTTAGCCTCCTCCCCTCAGCCCCCTCTGCCCACCGCTGTCTCCCCATCCCCTCAAACCCAGAGCTCACCCTTGGGGGCCGAGAGGCTGAACACGATCACTCGGGAGATGGGGCCGTCCTGCAGGACCGACCACGTGTGCAGAACCTCTGCGTGGAGAGCAAGGACTCAGGGCCCCAGCCCCACCATGGTCCCGCCCCCCGCCCTCAAACCCCTGCCCTTCCTCCCCCACCTGTCAGCCTCATCCTAGCCCCAAACGCGGCAGCTTTCAGACCCACCATAGCCCCATCCCCAAGCCCCACCCTCATCCGTCAAAGCTTTCCCCTAGCCCACCCAGCTCCAGCCTTCAGTCCCACCCCCAAGCCCCTCCCCCCTCCCCTACACCACCCAGCTCCTGACCTCAGCCCCCCTCAGCTCCCCCGCCCCCCCACCACAAGGCCCATCCTCATCCCTCAACCCCATTTCCCCCTCCGCTACCCCACCAAGCTCCAGTCCTCACCCCCCCGGCCCCGCCCCCAGCTCCATCCTAGCTCCGCCCCAGCCCTCAACCCCACCCTAAGCCCCCAGCTCCATCCTAGCCCCGCCCCAGCCCTCAACCCCACCCCCTGACCCCGCCC